TCTAGGCGTCTATTTAATCTACAGATTAATTTTCAAGTATCACGTGACCTCAGTTCACAACATTTATATCGATCTATGCTTTAACCGGATAAAAGTATCAAACTCAAATTAAGCACTAAATGTTTATTATACCTACAAGCCAGCCGATGTATCTTATTTATTATATACTGCATCTGCCTGGGTTGCCACCGCTCGCACGAATAGACTCAAATTACAGCGATTTCAAAATAAACTTCTTCGAATAATTTCTGATTCATCTTAGTTCGTTAGAAATACTGTCATACATCAAGGCATCAATATTAAACCCATTAATAGTGAAATTCTCAAGTTATCTAACAAATTCTACACAAATAGTAACTATAAACGATACAGTTCGAAACATGCCTTCCCTATTGAACAAGTGTGCAAGAGACCAAGAACAATTCACTATAATCCAAACTGGTAACTACTGATATCTCTGCATCATTTTTTTTCTGTACGTATTTACTTATTTACTTAATATTTACCTGGGAAACTATTTTTTTTACTTTACTTTCAGCTGATTAAGCATGCATAGACTTTGTTGTTTGTCAATATGAGTGATACAGAGACGACAGCGGATTAGCTTAGCCAACACAAATAGAGTCAGAAGTACGGTTCGCACTAAGGTCAAACATAAAACGACTAAATATTATATTTTCTCATTTTATCTCTCTGTATTGTATCGTACGTGTAACTGCAACATCTTCAAGTGAAAATACTATGGAATATAGCTATAATTGCTTTAAGAATGCAACAGTTCAGCTTGGATTGTACGTAAAAGTTTTTCGAGCACACAGTGCGCAGGTCTTCCATTATTTGGATTTTAAGATGCCGTACTTATAAGATGCCATTATATTTTTAGGGTTAGGATAAAGAGTTAGGATAAAAATATGGTAGTAAAGGCCGTGCCGTAAGTCGTAAACTACCTGCAAAAGTGAAGCTCCAGATCCAGGCTTCAGTTATAGAACTTGAGTTTGAGAGTCTTCTGCCTTTCGTCCACGTTTTATTGTACGAGTTAAAGATTACTAGTTTACGGCCATGCTTATTACGTGCCTGTCAGTCCAAGCCGGTGACTTTTAGTTAAAAGCAAAATACATGGTAATAACTCGCTTAGGCTATTTAGTTTACTTTAGTTACTATTTAGCTTAATTTTGCATTTTCTATTTTAAGTTCAAGCAAAAAGTGTTGTACACCCAAGAGGAGCCATCTGTAAAGATAATTGAGTTAGAATAAAAGGCATATTTTAACTCTCCTTCGGAGTTGTTATTTACACACAAAGAGCTTAGCGAATAGTCGCTACATAGTTCTATTAGTTCTAGCAATTAAAAGAATTTTAGCTAGAAAATCACAAAATACTTAAACAATATTGCATAAATAATTATTATAATTTTGTTTCAGACAAAAAAGTAATGAGTGGAAAGTTTCATACAATTTCAAATTTAATTATATTAGTCAGAAACGCAATAACCAGTCATTTTATACAGCAGCTATAGTATTTACACAATTCATCAAAATTTCCTGAAATTCTAAGCAGCCGGCTCAAAGCATGCATCAAGCACATTTTTGCAAAAACCTTTAACTGGAAAAGAAATTACCTTGTATTATCTACATTATTTTCTTAAAATCAGTAAGTACATGGAAAGTTGTGTCAATACGCAACTTTTACTATCATAAAAAGTTATGTATCTTTGAGTAAAATTGTATATGGAATCATTTTATATGTAATTCAGGATTTAATACCTAGAGTTTGCTGTAATACTAACATAAAAAATTGTATGTCCTTTTAAAAACTGTAAAAGTTTTTTGTAACTGGTTCTAGGGCAAATTTTTACATTTCTTTTACCATTAATTTGATTGCAGAGCGAAATTTACATTTTTTAATGTTTGTAAGAAATCAAATTTTAATATTAAAGTATAAAACAAAATTTTACTGTTTTTGAAATATTTTTGATTCATACAAATACAGCCTTAAAGAAAGAAATAAATACAACAATACATAATATTAAAGCAATATACGAAAACCATAATCTAATCAAATGGACTGAAAGATTTACAGGAATTTACAGATATCTTTCCTATTGCATAAAGAATATTATTTCGAAATGCCCAGCTGCGATGAGATAGCTTTTCCGCAAAGCTGGGTTAGGGTTACCATAAAGTGACACAGAAAAGCAATTTGGCTATTTGGCAATACTTGGCGACATGCCACGGACGGAGCAAGAACATTCTTGTATTCCCGAGAATATTGTCGAAGGTGGGTTAAAGCTATATATACCCTGCCTGTACCATTAGAGTATTTTGAATTTAGTAGTGTAGTAGTGAGTTTTGAGTTCAGAGATTAGCTTGAGAGCGATCGAACGAGTCGGGAGCTGTACTTTAGTGCTCTTCCGAAGGTATCTTTACTGTTTTAGCCTGAAGGCCGTGTTGCTGATTGATTCAGCGTGTGTAATACTGGCGAAAAAATTGTGTTTTGATTCTTCATCAAGTGTTATCACCAATTACTCCAAATTCACAAACCCGTAGAACGGAACAGTATTGTTGTGACATATATCACTTGTCTCATAAACATCTTAGAAAATGTCCATGATGGGTTCTAATCATTCTTAATTGGAAAGCATAGAGGTGTAACAGCTTTAAATAATATTAAAATCTTGTAGTTTAAATAATTTAAATAGATGAACATTAAGGTATTTGTGAATGGCAATATTTGAAACCAGACTCGAGTGCCTCGTGCGACTCTCGCACGAAGAATGTAATTTATTTTTAAATGTTAGAATATGTTTTCTCTTCTTGTTTTGTATGTCGCCATTTTTTTGAGTGTTAAATAAAAGTTATTGCTGTGTTCCATCATTGGAGTTGCTTCATTTCGCCAAAGAAGTATCACAGTCTTAATTATTTTGGAGGCACCGACGAGATCGCATAATCGTGTGTATTTTTATTTTATTAGTTCATCACTGAACATAATATTAGTGATACCAGATTATTACTTCCTGTTCATATAGAATTGCTTTATTTTATTAGTTCATCACTGAACGCAATATTAGTGTTACCAAGTTATTACTTCCTGTTGATATTGAATTGCCTTATTTTATTAGTTCATCACTGAACGTAATATTAGTGATACCAGATTATTACTTCCTGTTGATATTAAATTGCCTTATTTTATTAGTTCATCACTGAACGTAACTTCCTGTTGATATTGAATTGTCTTATTTTATTAGTTCATCACTAAACATAATATTAGTGATACCAGGTTATTACTTCCTGTTAATATTGAATTGCCTTATTTTATTAGTTCATCACTGAACGTAATATTAGTGATATCAGGTTATTACTTCCTGTTAACACTGAACTGCCTTATTTTATTAGTTTATCACTTGAACGTAAACTTAGTGATACCATTTTAATGCCGTTTCTACTAGAGCTCAAAGGAATAGAAAAATAGCTGAAGAGAAGATCTTGGAACCGATGAAGGAAGAAAATAAAGCATCCAAAGATATCTTTGAAGAAGAAGTTAAATCACCGGAATTAAACGTGGAAGATTTTCACGAAAATATGAAAAACGATAAAGAAATTAATATTGAGAATCATTTTGCAATGCAGCGTTATCATCATCTTTCGGCTTTTGATTTAATATCAAAGCCGCTACTAATAGACGAAGAAAACAATTGTCGAAAGCAAATGACAAATGAATATTATCTGAAAGGCACAGATGAACTGAGGAAAGGCTTTGCTGTGAATTATAGCCGAGGAACTGGTCCACCGTGGAAGAGATCTAGGCGCCGTCAAGAAAAAAAAGAAGACTAATTTGAACACTGGTCCATTTTCTTCCTATTTAAATGTGGTGTAAAAATACTTGTTTAAAACTTAAAATTTTTGGCCTGAAAATTTGGAAACTTATGAGAGCAGTTATCTTTTCTCTTTAAGCAATTTAGCAAGCCGAGCTTATAAACTTTCGAATTTTACAGAACATTTCCCTTCGGCAAAAGTTCTCTCCGTTGGGGGAGAGGTTTGTAACAGCTTTAAAAAATAATATTAAAATCTTGTAGTTTAAATAATTTAAATAGATGAACATTAAGGTATTTGTGAATGGCAATATTTGAAACCAGACTCGAGTGCCTCGTGCGACTCTCGCACGAAGAATGTAATTTATTTTTAAATGTTAGAATATGTTTTCTCTTCTTGTTTGTATGTCGCCATTTTTTTGAGTGTTAAATAAAAGTTATTGCTGTGTTCCATCATTGGAGTTGCTTCATTTCGCCAAAGAAATATCACAGAGGTGACAGAAGGACTTGCTCACTTTCCTGCCTATTTTGAAAGAAAATGCCCCGAAGACGGATCCAAGGGTCTTGCACCAATAATTCCTCAACAAACCATTCTAAAGGACTTTCGTCTCTCCTTGTATTTTGCTCATAAAAATGCGCATATAAATAAATGGGCTTTCAAATAGCTTAATTTGTTAAGCAATTATAAACTGATTAAATTTAAAAGCTAAATTAAAAATCATGCGTATCGCAAATGGAAGCACATTAAGAACTATTTACGCAAGAGGCGCGAGGAAGGTAAATTAAGCGTTTTAAATTTCGGACAGTGGCAACATTAGCCAAGACGAATATAGGCTATATTTATGGTAGTTTAGCGTAACGTAACAGAATGATCTAAAACGTTTTTAATAGCTTCTTTGAGGATGCTTCTAATGTCAAAATATTTCTGCTATTAATATAGAATGTTACTAAACATTTGGATTTGAACAGACTGAAATCCTAGAAAAATATATTCTAACTCTTATGTGGTGCATAAGTTATCCTATCAACGGTTGTTCAGCAGTTATTATAGCCTTTCCACTGTATAAACTCTTTGATATTTCAATGAAGATCATTAAAATTATACCCAAGTAATAGGACAGATAATGGGTTTAGTAATTTCTTTAGTAATTGCTGTAAATTTACTGTATTCATAACATTCTTTCCTTATTCTAGGCCTTCTACGCTACTAGAAGCTGACGAGTACGACGAAGAGGATATTCGCCGCTTACGAAATTTCACTGTTACGCCCAAAGGTCTTATCAACTGGGGAGATTCCTTTCGATCTCACTCTCTGACGTCCGTCCCGGGTCTGGACCACTTCCACTCCTGCAGTGGAAGTCAATGGGACGTTGCTTCTACGAAATCGTATCCAATGGATTCCTCCCAGTCGCAGTGGCATTGTAGCAAACCACCTCAGAGGTACGCAAAATGATTCGATGCATTAACGGATTTACCAAGTGTTTAGCAGATTCTCATGTTTAAAATTGTTTTGTAATGTGTAATGTATTACTTTAACTTTCAGTTGCAGTTTAAGCAGTTTGCTTTAATAACGAATCCTTTGGAGACTTTCTCAAATATTCTAATGCTATCAAGAAAATGGTTTTACACTAGAACCTAATTTTGAGAAACTGGAGGTGTTTATGAAAAGAAACGAAGCGGCCACCTGACAGTTTTGAGTTAGAACAAAATGGACGATATCATTCATAATAAAAAGTTGCAGTAACCAACAATGTGTATATGAGTCAGTTTCTATTAGAAAGTTCTCCATAAATGCATCCCTCTCTAAGCAGATAACCCTAGTTCTTTGCCATAATGAAGCGAAGCCAAAACACCAACAATGAGGTTGGGAAAGGTGATATCGCAATCAAATATACATATTACGAAATAGTGCTCAATCATAATAATTTGTTCTATGTTTGAAAACCCCATCTCCATCTTTCATCAAACAAATGGGATTTTAGATTGACGGTGAAATTTTAAGTGATATATTACTTGTAATAGTACAGCGGTGGGATCCAATGAAAAAAATTCCCCATTCCATACTAAAGTTTCAACAGGTTTTTAAAGTTTGATCTGGGTGACTTTAAAAATCACACTGCAATACTGAGCCAAGACTGGCATAAGTTATCAGAAATCGCAGTTTGTCAAGCTGTATGATTGAGATCTTACTTCGCAAGATTGTCTGCAGCTTTTGAAATTGTCAATTCCCTGATCAGCTTTATTGATTAATGGTGTGATAGCATATGTAGCATAACATATCGCAAACGAAAAAAAAGACACTTATGCACGTTTCCAACGTTAATGTACGGAAATGTTATCTAGAAAGTATTTTATTTGTTCGCCCTAATCGGTATAGTAATTAGCATTGCCGCCTTGCGGCGTCGTTGAGCCCAGGTTTGGATCCCGAAAAATGTTTGGACTTAAAATACATGGCTAACTGAAAGTCCTGTCGAGTGATTTGGTAGTCCTCGTGGTTCTCTGATTACGATAAGCAAAGTCCCATTCTTTTACTTTTAAATCTTGAGTAATCTCGCTCTAAGATAATCCCTAGGTACTCCTTTAATTCGCAATGAATCACAGGCTTGAAGCGAGAAGGAACTCTTCTTGCTTTCTTCTTTGCTGTTCGCTCTTTTCTAACCTTCGTTGCGATTTCAAGATGTGGGCAAAAGACCGTTGGGGCAAAAGGTCAGAGGTAACCTTGGAGGCAATTACCTCCGCTTCCAGAGAAAAATCCGAGGTCTTACAGCACTAATTCGCTAAGCGCGAAGCACAAATTACTAACTAATTAATAATTCATTAAAGAAACGTATCTCAGACACATTTTACATTGATGGACTCGTTCTAGCTTGAAATATCGAATAACATAGATTGCAACGCGATCCCATGAATATTTACGCAGGTACAAGGCAAAAATTCGAAGCGCTTAAGAATGCACCTTCGGCATCTAGAGAGCTAGAGAGCAAGGTTCAGGAGATGAGGGATGAAAGATTCTTGGATTTTTCCGGATGTTCTTCATGAAAATTGCACCTGAGCAACAATTTCAGTCATTTCTGAAACAACAACATATTTGATTCATAAATCGATTAGTCTCGTAAAAATGTATTGTGTCTAGAAATCTGAAATATTTTTACAATCCTTAAGAGAAGGTTTAATACAGAAAAGGAACTGACGCGATCGTTCTCATTTGAAGAAGAGAAATTTTTCACACGCTTAGAAAGTACGGAACAAAAAAATACTATAATCTACATATATAACGAAGAACGTCTGCGTGTTTGTTCGCCAATAACTCAGTCATTACTACAGCTATCATCACCAAACTTTCTATAATTATTTTCAGGGTCCTGGAAAAGGTCGTCGTTCACCTGTTTCCAAAAACAAAGTAGCTAAAAATCAGAGATATGAATTAAAAACTCGAAAAAACGATAATTTTCGCCTTCATTTTTCCGAGTGCCAACAGTCTCGCAAGCTGAAGATGAAAATCTGCTCTTTTTCGAAAGTTGTTGTCATTGCTAGCTTTCAATTTCTAGAATTTGTTAATAAAAATTTCTAAATTTTACGATGAAATAAAAATAGCATTGCCAAACATCAAATACATTGTTTCAGATTCCGAAAATTCGTGGGAAGCCATTTCGACTACTCTCACCTTCGTGCGACTTTAATCAGCCGAGATATTAATTAAAAATTCTGAAAACGCTATTTTCGCATTCATTTTTCCGAGTGGCAACAGCCTAGCGCGTTGGAGATAAAAATGCTTTATTTCGTAAAATGTTCCTTCTGCTCGCTTTCAAATCGTAGAGTTTGTTAATCAAAAATTTGCAAGTTTTACAAAATCTACATATATAAAGAAGAATGCATGTTTGTTTGTTTGTTCGCATTATTAATTTCTGATAAATCTTTCGCCACATTTAATCGACTAAAATTGAATATGGGTGAAATATTGGATGTAACTTAGCATTTACGACCATTTGATTAGAAAGAGGAAAATCATTAAAAACTGCGTGAACTGCGTGCATGATTTAAAACTCGGGTATTTCCGTTATTTAGGGATAAGGAAGGGAAGGAAATTGAAAGGAAAATGTTTTCTGTATAATGCTCTCATTAAATACGAAAACCCAAGAAAAAATACTTTTCACTGGACACGTTAAAATCTACGACTTGCGTTGAAGTGAAATGAATATTTAGAAACTGTAAATATACTATTGCAATGTAAATGAGAAAAAATGCATTTTTTTCTAACTCATAAGAAATAAGCTGATTAAGGATTTTTAATACACTTAATATAAAACTACATTTAAAAAGTATAAAATATGTTTAATTAATGCAAACTAATTTAGGTTAAAATAACACGTCGAACACATATTAATTTAAAAGTCAAACAACAAAAATCAGCGTTATATTTGCAATTTTTCACAGGACTAATTTCGATAGCTTTACCAAACCATCAGCCTCAGCTGCCAAAGTGCAAATGCTAACCTGTCTGTGTGAGGGTAAATATACAAAAGGTAAATACTTGAGTCCTTTAAAACGTTTTTGTAACTCTAGTTATGTGCTTACAATCAATGTTGTTAAAAAAAAAAAAAAAGAAGAAGAAGAGCCGGATAAAGTCTTTAATGTCGCATAGCTTTGTGTTGGTTTCATGTAGTCTGCTTTTATTACTGTAAATAGCATGCAATCTGTTTGTACAGGCTTGTATTTTATTCGCTGTAAGCATGTACAAGCCAACGAGCATGTAAAACAGCGCTAGCTGAAAAACTAAAATACAGCTATACGCATGAACTTATAACCCTCAATACAATTTTTTCTTTACTAGTAGCTTTATACCCTTATATCCATATTCGTTACAGCATAGATATTTTCCTGTTGATATGCGCTCCAATAGATATATAGTGACCGTATCAATGGCACACCATTCTTCAGAATTTTGTATTCCTACAGTATTTTTTGGGGTAACAAATTACAATATACTGATAGTTATATATTTAAAGTTGCTTTCGTTTACTACCTTTCTATTCTACTTGATTAATCTTATTTCTGGCTACTCTTATTAAAAATTAAAATTATTAAATGCGATTTCAAGATACTGCTGTTATGTTTATACTAAAATCCCATATTTATTGCATTTTTGTCCGCATACTTGTTACAATCATATTTAATTGAAGAGTGTCTAAAATTACAGGGTTACTAGAAATGTTTTCCTTGGATTCGGAAATCTTGTACTTTCCAAGTTATAGAATGCAAACTTTCTCGACATTCATGTACGAAAGAATAAGCTTAATTTTTTTTTAATTCATGAATGCATATCTTCTTAAGGGTACATTCTGTAGTAGATATGAGTTCCGTTTTCAAATTTCGAAAACATTTTATGCTTTAGAATATGTAAAATGTTTATGCATCGTGATGCAACATCCGTTTGAAGAGGAACGATTCATATCAACCATGCAACCAGAGCACTCTATAGACAATTCAAGAACATTTGTTACTTGTATAAAAGCAAGAGTCCAAGCATTATTAGATAAACAGTAAAGATATTAGTTTTGATCGTATCTCACAAACATCAATACATAGCGTTAGCCACGGAAATGGTACTCCGCAGCCAATTACTGGGAATATTTCGTAGCGGCTTCTGTTATGGTAACAATACACAAGTTGTAGCGTTTGGCCAGACCTTCAAAGGTATGAATATTATATTCTCTCACAAGAAGTATTGATATACGGTGATTTTGCTGTTCGTCAATTATTCGGTAATGAAGCGATGTTTTATTGACGTGTAAAGGTAAATCAACAGGCATGGAAGGTTGTCGTGACCCCATTGAAGAGAATCGGAACACACCAAAATTAAACTTCTGCGCGTTTTTACAATAGTACATAGACATTTTTATAGCTTCTAGAACACTAGGCTGAATATGTCGTAACTTGTGTGCTATATTTGTGATAATTTATTGAGATTAAAGATGATTCAAAATGTTTCCAACAAGATGGACTTCCCTGTGAAAGGTTGTTATCTGCGTAATTTTGTTGGCCCATAAGAAAAATGACAAGTGGAGGATTGTTCAGATGGCCACCTATGTCAGAAGACTTTATGCCAAGTAATATATGTGTTCCTTTGGAGATATGTTAAAGGCAATGTTTATGCACTCCAACTTCCAACAACATTAGAGATGCAATCGAGCCACATTATACTTTGTTTGTAACCATAAACAGGAAAATCTTATATCGCATGTAAGCAAAGAGTTGGAATACTGCTTGGACGTATGTCATGTGACAAGAGGAGTACACATCGAAGATATGCAGTACTGTGATTAAATCCCTCTGCCCGGCAATACCGTATATATTCGGCGTAGAATATTTCTGTGATATCTGTAAGAACGTATATACGTGCGTCTTTGAAATATGTTAAAGAAATTAAGGCAATATATTAA